ACGATATTAGAAAAGCATTATTAAGAAGTAAAAGTAGGGGCCAGATGGTGGTATAGCTATAAAGTGTGATGATCTGTGAGGCAATTCCACATGGGAGTGTTCCTGGTTCAAGTCTAGAGAACTCCTTGAGTATACCAGACATACATCTACCCAAGAGCCAGGGTTGACTGAAGGCTAGGGGTAGATCTTAGTGTCAAGATCCTGTTGGGGGTTCTCTCTCTCTCTCTCTCTCTCTCTCTCTCTCCCCCCTTTCTCTGTCTGCCTCTCTCACTTGTGGAAGAAATAAACTTAAGAAAAAAAAAAAACTCAATGACTTAATACAAAAAAGTTAAGAAGAAAAAGAAAGTAAAAATAAAATGAAAATAAAGGTTAGATGGGGATGGGGTGGTATGAGGTGCACAAGAAATTTAAAGGTAATTCAAATTTATTACTGTCATATTTATCCAAAGGGAAAGGATGATGTTAGGTCAAGATTAAAGTATAAATTTGAGAATGAGGATCACTTAGAACTTGGTTTCGGTTGTTTCTTCTTAATGTCCTGATCCTCTGACTGGATAATTTTACTGGTTTCCAGAAAGGTAAATTGAATTAGCACTTTTATCTCTCAGGCATACAAGTACCATCTAGTGGCAAAAGAAAGTAATTACAATAATGAAATGATACGTATGAAAAACAATTATTTATCAATACCTTGGTCTTATTTATGCTATGATTAGCTAAGAACAGAGGCCACGTTCTAGCTAGGTAAGGAAATAAAGTAGTCTAAAACAACAGCATTGCTTAATAGTTGGATTAAGAAAACATAGGATCAGATTAAATATGGATTGTGGATTAAAGGTCTTACTAAATATGACATAGTCCAAAATTTCATGTAAGAAACTAAATAACCAATTATATTTTAGAAATGAATCTTAAAGCAGGAGCTGTTTGAGTTTGTAGAAAGAGCAGAGAAAGAGAAAATCAGTACAAATGAGGACAAGATGGTAATAGTATTCTTCCAGAATATTTTCTCCTTGCTCTGTAACTAATTCCTACTTAGTTCCTAGACCTTAATTTAAATATGACTTCCTCTGAACAATGTTCCTTGACCACTCAGGTCTGTATTAGATGAATCATGAACGTCCTTCTATAGACCACTAATCCATGATGCTACTGACCATACTCCATGTTTGATTTTCTTTGTATAAGTCCTTATTTTGGTTTATGTCCTCCTTTCAGTTGGTACAATGTCTGTCTCACTCACTGTTCTATCCTGAATGATTAGGGTGGTACCTAACATATAACAGGCAGTTCACAGGGGCCAGCAGGTGGTGTGGTGGATAAGGGTGCTGGATTCCCACATGGCCAACCATGGTTCAAATCCTGGACCTGGTGGCTTGCTTTCTCACTTTCCCTTTCTCTCCTCTCTCTCTCTCTCGTCAAATAAAGAAAAAAAATAACAACAAATGGAAATAAATAAATAAATAATTCTTTTAAAAAAAAACAGGCAGTTCACAAATATTTACAGAATGAGTGGACAGATTGAGAGAATTAATTTTTTTAAGAATGGTTTAACTTTATTTATTTAATTATTTATTTACTTAAATCTGACCAGAGAGGGACAGAGAGAGAGAGAGAAAGTGAGAAAGCAAGCCGCCAGGCCCAGGACTCAAACCACTGTTGGTCATGTGGAAGTCCAGCACCCTTAACCACCATGCTACCTGCCAGCCCCAAGAGAATCATAATTAAAGGTGAAAGGTACATAAGGAAAAGGTAGAAGGCACAAACATGGAAAGAGACAAGGTACAAATATGGAAAGTTAATATTAGTAAAGGTTAAATCAAAAAAGGAAAATATTTTCAGGAAATTATTAGTAGAAAATTGTTTCTTTTAATTATATATCAGTTATCTACATGACATCCATTTATTTGTAAACTCTGGTGCTTTATAGTTTTCAGAGTACTTAACTTATTTATACCTGGGTGGGAAAAATAACAATGTATACCTCACATTGCAAGTTTAGATATTAAATAAAAAATTGCACATAAAGCATACAGATCGGAAATAGCACATATCATGTGTTTAACAGTTGGATTTTATTTTTTCACAAACCTCATCTCATAAATGCCCTGAGAGGGTCAAGAAAGGCAGCTATTGGGAACCAGCAGTTAGTGTAATGGCTATGTCGCTGGACTCCCACGTAGACAACCGCGGGTCGTGTCCCGGACCCGGTGGCTTAAAACTCACGCTGAGCACGTGTGCGTGCGTGCCCAAGATCCCGAGAGGAGAATGGAGGAGAAGGGATTGCGGCGTGACCATCCCCCCTGGGGGGTGATTTCTCGCT